TTTTTTTTTTTTTAAAGCGATTTTATACAGTTTTGTTTTGAAGAGAAAAAAAATACTTTCTATGTCAAAACATACAGTTCAAATTCAATGGGGACTATCAAACGAATACTGTCTGTATAATCAAAAAAAAGATGAATGTCCGTGGTTGTTGATACAGTCATATGGTTTTGGCGAACAAATAACGAACAAAAAACCTGCTGTTGCTGCTGTTGCTGATGATGATGATGATGATGATTTTGATGATGAAGTTTTGTGCTGTTAAAGGCTTTTTTTTTTTGAGAACAAAAAAATATGAAAAAATACCCGTTTTTTTTTTCCTATCCATAGAACGTTTGAATTTGGACACAAAGAGATACGACTGATGTCCATTGATACAGTTCTTTTTTTTTTTTTCTTCTTCTTCTATGTTTACAATAGCATTGGAAAAATATAATTTTTCAACGATAGTTCTTCTGCTGTTTTTCAGTTATCGATAATATATATGACAAGAAAGAAGAATTTTTTTTCTTCTTTTTTTTTCTTATTTTCTTTCTTTTTTGTTTTGTTATTTAGAACAAAAAAAAAAAAGAATGTTTAATAAATCAGAATTAACCCTATTTCAATTAACTGCTAAAATATTTAGCAAGAAGAAAAAGAAGAAAAAAGAAAAATTTTTTTTTGTCTAAGATGAAATAAATTAAAGGTTTTTTTCTTTTTCCTTTTCAATAATTTTTTAGCCGAAACTTTCTTCTTCTTCTTCTTCTTCTTTCTTAGGGTTGTTGCTTTCTTTTTGTTAACTGTTCCTACCTGTTTGCCAAAAAAAGAAGGAATTTTTGAATGCAAAAATTGATTACTAAATTTAAAATAAGAAGAGGAGAAACAAAAAAAAAAACAAGGTTGAAGTGAAGAAAAGAAAGGAATAACGGGAAGAAAAGGAAGAAGATAAAAGAAGAGGAGAAAAAAATGAAAAGCAGAGGTAAGAGGTAAACACACAAACACACACAGACAATAAGTTTGATGTCTGAATTATTGCTCAAGTCACAGAGGTATAAAATATTTTATGATTTTTTTTTTCCTTTTAATGCACTTGAAAATTTTTTTTTTTTTTAGTATAGTCTAAAAAAAAAAAGTCTTTTCTAAGGACTAAGTATTGGGGTGGGCTTTTTTTTTGCTGCTGCTGCTGCTGCTGTTATTATCGCTGTTGTTGTTGTTGTTGTTTAAGACTATACTTTTTGGGGTTAAAAATATTTGTTAATAATAATCAACAGAGATATTTCATACAAAATCTTTTTCCTTCAACTCTGTTCTTTTTCTCAAAAAAAAAGAAGAAAAAAAGACAGGCTTTCTGTTTTTTTCCTAAATTGTATAATGTAAAATCGACTGTCTAATATCTGTCTGTTTGATATAAGCTGACAAAAAAAAAAGCAAACTACATAGAATTTATGTATAATTCTGACCAATTCTTTCTCTCCTTTTTTCTATTTTTTTATGCTTCGTTTTTTTTTTTATTTCTAGAATTTTGAGTAATTTTTTTTTGTTTGATTGTTATTTTACTTGATAAAGACTTTGGATATTGAATAACGCCAAAAAACTAAGAGGGACTAAGAGGAGGAAAAAAAATTTTTGTTTTACTAATAGTAAATATTTTAAGCATCTGTAATCGGTCCAAATCACTGATATATTGGGTTGATTTGATTGCAAATGCAATTTTTGAGTGATCGTAATAATATGCAATCAGAATTCACATTTTTTGATAGTACCACCAACAAATCTGTTTTCAATATATATATATTTTTTTGATAGTAAACGCCACTGTTTTTTACACCATAAATAATAATAGTAAAATTTTTTGTTTTCAACAAAAAATAAATAAATAATATGAAATATAAATTATAGTAGAAAAAAAAAATTATTACAAATTATGTAAATTATCAAATGTTGAAAAAAAAAAATTAGACTCAAAATATTACATAGCGATGTTCTTTCGTTTTTTTTTTTCTTATTTTCTTCTTAGTAAATCACTGAATTATCACTCTGAATAAAGTTTGTCAAAGAAGAAAAGAAATCAAATTGGGTATAAACAGAAAAATGTAATTTTCAAGTCATTCAAAGTTGGTACTCTTATAAAACTTCCAAAGAAATCTCTGAATTTTTTAACGCTTTTTTTTAATAATATTTATCAAATACATTTGCTCTATACATATAAAATTTCACTGTTAAACAGTTATTGTAAATTGCAGTTAAGTTTATAAGTTTTCAAAAAAACAAAAATAACAACTTAAAAATAGTAGCAGAAAGAAAAAAGAGGAATAACTTTTCTTTTTATCAGCTTAAAAACGATAGCCTTTTTTTTTCCCACTAATTTGTCACAATTATAAAATCAAATGTGGAGCAAAATTTTAGAAGTTTTTCTGCTTAAAAAAGCATTGATAAAACTCTCATTTATTTTTTAGGTTTATTTTATTATCATTATTTTTGTTTTTTCGTTGCTTTTGTTTTAATGAATGATACGGTTAAACAGTGGACAAAGAGAAATACTTTTTTATAAAAAAAACCTATAAAGCTCTTTTTTTTTTCTTTAGAACTGCCTCAAAAATACTTTTAGAAAAATTATTGATAATTTTCTGTCTGCTAAAAAATATGAAAAAAAAAATTGTTTTTTGCTAAAACCTACAAAGCTTTTGATTAATTAAAACGCCATAATTTTTTGTACATCGGCAACAGTATAAACAAGTTAAATTAGAACAAATTTGGTGTAGATAATCGGTGTAATCTGAGCTGATAAATATTTACGTCTTATAATTATTATAACTAAATTAAGTGTCTTTAAATAACAAAAAAAAAAAAAGATGAAAACAAAAACTTTACATTTTGGAAACACTGTAAGAATAAAATCATCTTTTGAGAGTGAAAGTACAATAAGTGATTCAACTATAGAAAAATTTGGTAACTATTAAAAGAGAAAAAAAAAGAACATTTCTAACTTTTTTTCCTTTTTTTTTCGTTTATAAGATAATATTTCAGGCAATTACAACAAAATTATAAGTCAAAAAAAATTTTTTTTTTTTTTTTGGTACATTTTTAGTAAAGAAAGAATAAACGTCAGAAATTTCATTGGAAACAGTTGTCATTTTTTCCCATAGTTAAGTTTTGCTGTTAGCGTATATTATTTCAATGATTTAATTCGGTGTCTGTACGGTATCTGCGGTACCGATAACCATTCCCCCGTTACTGTTCAATTCATAGTACTTTAAAAAAAAAGATTCAACCAAAACCGGTGAATGATATTTTTCAAAAAAATTTAAGTTAGCAGCTTTTTAAACGTACTACAGAGAAAATGATCCTACAACAAAAGGATTATCTTATCCCAAAACCTAAAAAAAAATATGTAATACATATTATTATAACTGATCTAAAATACAGTATGCACAGTAAAGCAAAATATTT